TGAAATACCTTGGAATTCATCTAACTAAAGAAATCAAAGATCTTTTCATGGAAAATTACAGTACTCTGAAACAGGAGATCGTAGAGGATTTCAGAAAATGGAAAGATATTCCCTGCTCCTGGATAGGAAGAACCAACATCGTGAAGATGGCCATACTCTCAAAATTGTTGTACAGATTTAACGCAATCCCTATCAAACTACCACCAACATACCTCACAGACCTACAGAAATCATTCATAAAATTTATTTGGAATCAGAAAAGACCTAGAATAGAAATCCTGGCTAACAAAGACAAGGCAGGAGGCACTGCAATTTCTGACTTGAAATTATACTACAAAGCTGCTGTGATAAAATCAGCATGGTACTGGCAATTAAACAGACCTGAGAATCAGTGGAATAGATTAGAAGATGCAGAGGCCTCTAGGAACACACTCAGCCATCTGATCTTCGACAAAGGGGCCAAACACACTTACTGGAAGAAAGACAGCCTCTTATCAAATGGTGCTGGAAAAACTGGCTCTCTACATGCCGAAAACTAAAACTTGACCCAGGTCTATCACCATGCACTAAACTAAAGTCAAAATGGATAAAAACCTGAACATTAAAACAGAAACACTAAATCTCCTAGAAAAGAAAGTAGGAAGAACTCTTGAAGACAGAGGGGTAGGCAAAGAGTTCATGAACAAAAATCAAATCACATGGGTAAAACTTGAAAGAATTAACAACTGGGACCACCTCTTATTGAGAAGTTTTTGCACGTCAAAAAAAATTACCAGGTAATTTGTAGCTTTCTAGGAATCTGCCCATTTCTTCTGTGTCTTCGATTCTGTGAGAGTACAAATTCTCAAAGTAGCTATTCATGATCTTCTAAATTTCCACAGGATCTGTGGTAATTTCATCTTTTCATTCCTTATTGCAAAGATATGTACTAATATTGTTTAGACAAGAGATCATGTCTGCATCTTTTACTGTGAATAACTACTACAAAGACAACAATATGCAATGTAACTGTCCTACTAACCTGTTTTGAAACTGTCGCATTGCTATTTCTTTCTCATTAAAATTAATAAAAAATTTAAAAATTCAAAAAAAAAAGAAAGAAATTACCAGGAGCTGGGGAGATGGCTCAGTAGAATAAGCGCTTGCCTGGCAAGCGCAAGGGCCTGAGTTCAATCCTTGGTTCCACCAAAAAAAAAAAAAAAAAGAAAGAAAAAGAAAAGAAAGAAATCACCAACAAAGTGAAAAGACAACCCACAAATTTTGAAAAATTCTTAACTAATAAACACTCAGACAAAGGTCTGCTCTCTAGAATTTATAAAGAACTAAAAAAATTGGAGCCAGGGAGATGGCTTAGTGTAATAAGTGCTTCCCTGACAAATGCAAGGGCCTGAGTTCAATCCCCAGTTCTGCAAAAAATAAATAAATA